GGGGCCGCCGCGCCGCGGGGCGGGGCCCTAACGGCCGTAACGGCCATAACGGCCGCCGCCCTGAGGCGCCGCCGAGCGCGCCGGCCCGAGGAGCCGCTCCAGGGCCCTTCCCGCACAAGGAGCGGCCCCAAGAAGGGAAAACGCCGCCCTTCCCCTTCCCCTTCCCCTCCGCGAGCGCGGCGGCAGCAGAGCCGGGCCCCGCTGCAGCGCCCAGGCCTGGGGCCGCGCTCAGTGCAGGCCCGGSTGAGCAGGCCCGCCAGCGGCCAGGGAGCAGAGCCGCCCCCGAGCAGCCCCTGCCTGAGAGCCGGCTGGGGAACGCGGCTTGAAAGCCTAAAGGCGAGATGGGAAAACGTGGAGGTTCACAGTGCCCCGAAGGGCTCAGGCACCGACCCTGCTCCCACCCCCAGAACACCCTCCCAGAGCAGCCCGGGAGGCTCGGGCAGCCCCCCAGCCCTTTCTGTCCCCACGCAGGGGCTGCTCCGCTGTAAATGTGACCACWGAGCAGCAGGTTGGGCTGCAGCCGTCCTCCCTCATAATCAACAGGTGAGCAAGGTAATCCAGGAGAATCCAGTGCATTTATTTCTTGCAATATCTGAATGGGTGCTTCAAGTTGGGGCTTGAACACATACAAATTAACGTTTGCAAGTTTAATTACAATCAATACTAGAAGCAAATCACTGTGTAAAGCTCATAGAAGAATGCCAAATTTGTCATCGGTTGAAGTAKTACGCAGTTCAGACGAAGGCCTTGTGGAAGCAAGCATAACCCTCCATTACACAAGGCGGGAACCAGTGAGATCCGTCCGTGGGTGCAGGCAGCTGGGAGGCAAGTCTTCATTCTTTCTACAAGCGGCTAAGGGAACTAGRGAGGTTTACATGCTCTGGTTAGCTGGGGAGCTGGCCAGGAATACACACGTTCAGAGCTAAGRGCACATCCAGAGCCTGATCTGCAAGAGCCGACAGGCGCTATTCTACATACCAGGTAACAGCTGGAGCTCACGATCCATGACGTGAGGGCACCAGCTAACAAATAACATAAGSGCAGTACTACCTAGTACTTTGCATACCTTGTGCAGCAATTAATTGCTCAAGTGCAGATAAAATATTGTCAACTCAGTCCAGGTCAAAATAAATCTAAAGTAGGTGTTAGCAACAAAGCAAGGGCTAGATCAAAATAAGCAAACAAAAGACTCCAGGCTCTAGAAAGAGCAATCCCTCTCTCATCTCCTCCCTTCCTTGTTATTAAAGGGCACTACAAGCACCATTGCTGTAAGCCACAAGAAAAAGTGAATGAAACAAGAGTGTGGCAAGTTAGACTTAAAGATTTTTTGCTGTCTCACTTCTTTAGAACAAGACTGACTCAGCATGAAGATGATTAAAAAACAGAGGATCAGCTTATGGCCGTTTCTGTTAGTAAGAATACCAGAAACTTCTAAATACAATCATTATAGCAAGATACAGCTTCTCTGACCAAGTAGTAAGCTACTTCAGTGTTCTGACACTGACCAAGCCTCTTCAGAAACTACCAAGAGCCCTGTGGTATTCACTGGCTTCCATTTGTATTCAGAACATACAAAGTTGACAACTTAAAGCTTTATTGTAGTTTGCAGTAATATAAACAAGTTCTGAAGTTTAGTCAATGTCCATCTCGGGGAGCTTCTTCTCCGGAGCTGCGGGGGCCGCTGCAGCAGCGCTCTCCTCAGCAGCCTGGGCCCCACTGCTCGCGTCGCCCTGCCCGTCTACTGGTCCATTCTGTTCSGTTGGTTTCTGCTCCTCCTTTGGGAGTTCAACCTTGGGTTTTGGTTTTGTGACTATAGGATTGCAAATACTGGTCAATTCCTAGAAAACACAAGAACAGAAGCATTAGAAGCGTTTCATCGAGCAGCTGCTGTACTTTAACCTATCGACCAGGGGCTGCATCAGCTGCATGTTCCAAGCTGCACACTGATGTTCCACCACTACTCATTTAATTGATATTACTCAAGCACTGCTCTTTTACTACACGTTTGTCACCTCACAGCCCAAACAACTAGGCTGCGAAATGGTCATGCTCAGAAATGCAGCAAAAGATGTAGACTTACTTTAGTCTTGGCTTGTATCTCTTTAGCTTTTACAACTGGGTCCAAAGTAAGACTTCTCTTGTTCTGAAGATTGAGTTTGTTATTCATCCACTCCATAGCTTCATTTGCACTCTTCTCCACTTTTGCTATATCTGCTTCATCTAGATGGTCATATTGTTCATCCTGAAGCAGCCAAATAAAATAGGAACTGTGTAAGTATTTATTTAGAGTATCTAAACTGCTTATTTCTTCACTCAAACTTTTGACTTCAAAACACTAGAAACAGTAGTTCCATTTACCCTGAGGGCTATTTTATTTAGCAGAGCAGTTAGGCAGGTCCCCTGCAGCTCTGTAATCACAGAACTGAAGTTCCACTGCTGCAGCTATTTTTCCTTCATGAAGAAATCAAGAACTGATTAAAAGCAGATTTTCCAACTAACATTCCATTCGCACTGAGAACTGAGAATCTAATCAGGAGGTTGTCAGCAGCCTTCCACTGAAAGAAGCTTATTTAAAAAAAATCTAAACTAGATTTGCAACAATTCCTTGCATTTGCCTGAAGTTAAGCATGGAAATACCTTTGCTTTAAAGGCATGAACAGTTTTCATGTACTGTTGAATTTGCTTTCCCAAGTCCTCAAAGGCTTTTGGTCTTTCTTCCGATTCTTGAAATCTTGCCTGAATAGGTTGACCCAGAGTCTGAAAAAAACATAACAGATATCAAAAAACAGCAGCAGCATAATGTGCTACTACGAGTTCCGACAGTACTGCTGAGCATTGCTAAGCTTTGAAAGTTGTGCTCTGCTCTCCTCTTATAGGAGGAAAAGTCTCACCCTGCTTTGTCTTGCCACAAGACAAATTGGWAGTTTATTCTTTTCATACTTACTAAGCAGGTTAATTGGTTTATCAGCGCTAATTTGAAATGGCAAGCTAGCCCCCTGCTTAACTGAAGTGCTCCAGATTTAGTATATTCCTAAAGAACTTAACACACTTACCTTCAGTTCTGTTAATTTATCAATGTAAATTTGTTTGGGTTGGTCTTCGCCATCTTCATAAAGCCAGTTTTCTGTATCTTCCAGCTTCAGCGTGAAACTATTTCTATCCTGAAGCAATACAAGATAAATACTTCAGTGAAAATTTATTACATGGTATTCAATGATACTTGAACTCTTGTGAGGGGTTACATTTTTTCAGACAGAACTGCTTTCTTTCAGTCCAGCTTACTGGGAAGGCTGGCCTAAGGAAGAGCCACCTTGGAGGCTCAGTGTTCCAGGTTGGCTGTGCTCGGACCGCACAGTTTCTCTCACCGATTTGTCCCTTTGCCTCGTTACTACATGAGCAACACTGAGGACTGAGTGAAACCCACCTCCAGCAAAGGCACGGGGAATCTCACTTCCTGACCCAGTTTAGCTCTGGCACAGGTATCTAGATACCTAGGGCACTTTGCTGGCACAAGTCCTGTAATAGCAGACACTCTCTAGGCAAAGTGAGATAGGTTGCCTCAAAATGATCGCTCACATGCTCGCTATTTCCACATGAAAACACGCTCTGAGAACTTCAGTTGCTTCAACTGTTGTGGGAGAAGAACATACAATGTACCCTGAATATCATCCAATTTTCATTTGGTCCACACTTAGAAGGTTATATTCATAGCCAGAGAGGTTAAAAAATATTTTTTTCAACTACATACTTTAAATTCTGAAAATAACTATAACCAGGCATTCAAACATATCTGGTTGGCAAAGAGACCAACAGAATATGACCATTTGTTGCAAGAAAAAGTATTAGAAGACAATCAAGCCAGTAATACTTACATCTTCACTCACGAATTTCTCATAAATACTGCAGAGTTTGTCTCTCATATCATACACATACTCCTCCACTGCATTCTTGGCATCATTCCTTTCCTTCTCTAGCTTATCCTGCATTATCATCTTACCCTGTGAACAAGTCCTCAGATTAGTAAACTAAAAAGCTAATTGTTCAGTACTGGTTACCAAGATACCTGGTACCTGATAGCTTAAGCCAAATCTAAGCCGTGGCTAAGACTTGGAACAGTTCCCTAAATGACTATTTCAAAGCAGACAACATGAGCAGAAGTTAACTCCAGTTTACTATTGGTGAAATAGGGTAAAGACCTAATTGTCCCAGCTAAGGAATCATCCCCCATAATGTTAGTGACCACAAAGCAGCTCAACTGCAACAAATTTTTGAAAAATCATCCTGTTAACCAGCTGTCTTGTGTCCTACAGCTGCAAAGCACCACACGCCTTCAATAGACAAGCTACAACACTCACTTAATAGAATAATATATTTGAGCTCCACAAGACACTGTTGTCTAGCCTGAAGAAACAAAGGCATATTTTTCCTTTTCATCATTCCTTGTCCAACCTTGGCAATTAACTATGTTAAATGAACAGGAGAATTCTTGGAGCTCTGCTAGTAAAACTTTTGACTTAGGCAAACAAAGCACAAATTTACCTCGTTCTCAATGAATAAGTTCAGCATATCTTTCCCTATCTGCCACACCAACTGATTCTCAATGGGCAGGTCCACTGTAGTAGTCTTTACTTTAGCCTTCTTGGCTTGAGGTGGTTGATCCACTTTCTTGTCTTTTGAATCAGCCTGAGAAGTCTGTGTTAAGGAAATACATTCCAAGTAAAAATAGCATCAATCACCAGTCAGTTCAAGCTGAGCCTTCAAAACTGATAAGAAAAGTATTACTGAAATGGCCCTTGCTCTAATTACACCCACTCGTAAACAGCATTACTATATATATATATATATATATACACACGATTCTGACACTGAGGTCAGGAAGATAACACATCTTGTAGCCTTTTCTGAACACACTTGCCACACTCATGAGGGTGCTAGTGCTCACACGAAGAGACATTTCCCTCATACTTCACTTATTGAAAATAATTCATTATTCCCTCCACAAACAGGAGAATTCACCAATTTAACCACTATTAGGTCACTTGACACATCTGCATCGGTTTACGCTATTTACGTATTTTAAGCTCTACACAAAACAAGGTTTATTCAAATTCAAGTTCAGCCTCCAGACCACAGCAATGGTTGGGCTCAGGCACTGTGCGTTTTCAGCAGATACAGTTGTTACCTCCATTTCTTCAGACTCTGCCTTATTTTCAGCTTGGGCCTGCTGTTGTTCTTCAGTCTTTTGCTGCTCCTCCTGGTCTACCTGCATTTTCTGAAATTCACAAAGACTCAATTCACTATCTCTTTTACACAAGGCATATGTGAAGAAATAGAATGAAAACTTAAGACTATTTAAGTGGTACACTGCAGGCTTTAGTCTTTGCTCAGAGAAGCAACAGATCACTACTAGCTGACTAGGAATTTCATCCATATTTCAGTCCTAGTTTCAGAACATACACAGCAAACACAGTATCAATTTGTACTTAACTACATCTTATTTTTAGTTCCTTAAAATGCTTACTCAGTCCTTCTAGAAGCTTCAGAACCTGACAAGAACTTGGCCAATTGTGCTTAACCATTACAGTGATTTGCCAGGTAGAAATAAATAACTGTTACCTCTTCCTCTTTTGCATGCTGGTCTGTTTCCATAGGCTCCTCATTCTCATCTGATTTATGAACCTCCACTAAAGATGCACTTGAAACACTGAAGATGCCATGAATATTGACTCTAACTTTCACTTTGACTTTTGAACTGGATCCATCTGTTTGGGGCGTGACCTTCTGAACCAAGAAATGAGCTACGAAAAAAATACTGTTGGTTAATATAAATCAAGAAATCCTGATGACTGCTCATAACAGATTATAATGCATGCAGAGAATATTAAATTCTATTCAAACAATTTGACTTTTCACTAAAAAATGCTAGAATACATAGTTCTCAGGATTTTCCATATCTAAGATATGCTATAAAAACTGGTGTTATTGGTAGAATAATAATTGCTAGGAGACTGCACAGTTCTGAGGACGCCCTTTCTAGGCTTGCTTAAACAATGAAATTCTCTTTATTTATAGACTACTTGTCCATAAGCTTTGCGTTGCTCCGCTCATTTTACCTGGAGAGCCACGTCTCAGGAAACACTTCCTACAGCATTTGCGGCATTTTCTAGACTAATTACAAAGAAGTCCCCAAAAACATACACAATTACAAATGTTTAAAAAAAGAGAACAGCCTTAACTACCTATTGCAGGGTCTGGGTAAGGCAGTTCCTTGGGACAGCTGTAGTACGCCTCAAGGGTGAAAGGTTCCTTCCTGTAGAAGGTGAGCACCTTAGAGAAGGGAGCGGTGTGATTCTTGGGAAAGACCTCACAGTCACTGCAAGAGAGCAGGGCACTTATCTGCAGATGTTCAGTATGTAAACAAACATTTAGTATGACACAAGATAAACACAGAATATGCTTACATAGAGCTTTTCCTTAAGATACAGCAGTAAGTGACAAAAAAAAATCTCCTAAGTTATATCCATAAGAGCAGTAGTTATATAGAAAGTAAAAGTTTCCAAATGTTGATCTTGTATTGGCTTGGCTTTTTACTGTCACTAACTTAAGACAGGCAAACTATCAGAATTTGCATTTATAAATGGGTACTGTTCCAAAACCACTATCTAGTTATCTGCAGTTTAAGCTGCATGTAATCATGCAAAAAGTAGAATTATCASAATTTATTTTTACCTTAACCCCTCTTCTGCTGGTGAATTCCATCGTAACGAAATAGGATATGGTGTTAGGTCTGTGATAGAAAATTCTCGTACTTTGAAAGCCGGGGATAAAATGGCACACTGGAAGAGCAGAAGACATTCTTATTATAAGAACTGAAACTTTGGGTGAATAGTAACTGCGCGTTTTGCTGAAGTATTTCATCCGTTTAACATGTAGGCATACTCAGGTTAAAGGTGTCTAATAACTGATGGACTTGGGAACTGCACAGTAAAGATCAGGAGCCTATATGAACTCTTCCCCCTCATGAAGGTGCAATCAGCTGCTCAGTCCAAAAATGGAAATGCACAACTTCTAATTTAGCCAACTGAACAACAAACTGCTTCTATGTTTCAACTACTTTTGATTTGGTGACAACATAAGAAATCCATAAGTCCCAATTAAAGTTAAGAGTGACAMAGCACTAGTCCCCCCAGCGCCACCCCCACACTGTCAGACAAAGGTCCCTTTGAGCAGTGTCTAGTAACTGGCTTGTATCACTATGGCACACAGCAATAAGCACATAAGCATATATTAAGCCCTTGAAGGAGAAAAACAAGGTGACAAGAGCAAAATTAAGGTGCACTTGAAAGATGTTACAGCTAGGAACTATGCAGAATATTTACAAGGCTCAAGCCTTTACATCCCTCATTGAGCAGTGCTTCTGAATCAATGCTAGCCACACTAGCTTTGTCAATATTTCATTTTTTTCCATGCAATTAAGCAACTGACATATGATAAGCTTATCAGCAGTAATTCTATAATATCCTGTTTTACTCTTTAACCTAGGCACAGGAGCCTGCAGGTGGAAGCCCCATCACATGAATGTTACCAGACTGCTAGTTTCCAGCTACAGTAGCAGCAGAGCACATGCTTCACAATAACAAACTCACTTCTGCGCTGATTTGGCTTAGGCAAAACAGCACAAAAGAATCATTCAGAAACCAGCCATTTGTGGTCTTCCAACCATGCTCCCAAAGTTTACTGAAATCTGCTCTAAAATACACTGGAAGTGCTTTTCTTGTCACTTGATAGCGGTCTTCAGCCAAAACGTTAGCGGACTTCACTAAGAGTATTCACAGCTAAAGCACAGCAGCACCTTCTGTAATTTTTCCTTACCTGCAGTGCACAACCTCGTGCAACAGCCTCATCTGCATTCAAAGTCGTACTGACTTCTTTGCCAAAAAATTTACTGATCTTCTCTTTTACAGCAGGAATTCTTGTGGTACCACCAACTATTTCTACTGCATAAATATCCTCCTTCTTTAACTCTAGGAAGGAGTCAGACAGTTTTTATAGATTAAAATTCAGTTTTGCATGAATATGCTAACAAGATTATACCAGACTAAACATTAAGCTTGTTCTCTAATTTAAGAATTTGAGCAACAAGAAATTCAGATCTTAGCTTGTGTGATAGTTTCAGAAAGTTTGCTAAGCAAAGGAAATTAACTGTACTAGTCAATCTGCTAAAGTTTCACCAACATCCACGGAAAGCCTGCATTAAGGATGCATTTCTGCGTTCAGGATACAGAATGCAGACACACTTACTGGCTTGTTCCAGCACACTGCGAAGGGGCGGCTCGACTCTTGCAAGAAGACCATCACACATCTCTAAAAATTTGCTTCTGTTGACGGAAGCCATGAATAAAGAGATAGCCTACTGTAAGTTAAAACTGCAAATASAAGGGAGCTCCATAACTGAAAGAGTGCAGTGTTGGCTCTGGACTATTACTTCTCTCTAATCTGCCTCTGCACTTATTCAGTATGCTCTAACTTGGCTCCAGTATCCCAGGCATCCCTAGACCATCAACTGCTCTTTCTCCAAAGGCAAGAGCACTAATGGGTTTCTAAACATTATCATTTTGAACAGTACCCCCTCCACAGGCTCTTCTTACACTTCCCTCCCCACTCCAGCACTAAGCACCTGTATTTAATACATTTCTCTCCTGGCTGAAGTGACTTGAATAAAGTGGGTTCTAAAATTCACTGTTACGAAGAATATGACCATTACCTGTTCATGGTTCCAGAGACATCTATGTCGTTCATGAAGCATTCTATGTTCATTGGCAGATCAGAGGCGTTAGCACTCATCAGTTTTTTCAGTTTTTCACACTCCTGGTACAGTCTCAACAAGGCACGGATCTTTGACTTGATGTCTAGTTTATATTTCTTTCCAAACTCTTCACAGAAGTATTCAACTAACATCTCGTCAAACTTCCTGCCTCCAAGCGTTGTGTCAAATGATGTAGCAAGAACCTTTAAAAAAGGTCAAACTCTTCAGTAATAGCACAGTCATTACTTCAGTGAAACCTATCAGCAGCTAGTATCAAGCCCCTCTTTGGAAGATATATTTTAGTCTTAAAGTTCTATATAAATGTACTGCAACATTACTACASAGGAAGAATTATACTGGGGCAATAAAATCAAGAAATAAAACCAAGAAGCACTGAAGAAATTTTTCTGCCCTTGCCAACTCTGGCAAAGGTCTTTTGATGAACCCTGTCTAGAATTCCAGCCCATCCTCAAAGCTATACCCTACATCCATATTTCACATATCTGATACTACTGGCAAGAATTAGGCTATTCTTATGTTTCAAGGCAACCTAAGTAGCAATTACATCATGCTTACTTACATCTGATCTTTTACATGAATGGTAGCTAGAGTAACAGTTAGACAGATGTGGAAGGATACCTCACTTTTTCAAAAGCTTATGGCATTTAAACCACAATTATCCTACAGCTTTTGTAGCTGGTGTTAGAGAAGTTATGTTCAAAATGCTGCTGGAGCAGGAGAATCAGCATTAACAGACAAATTTTAATAGCTACAAAAATAGTAAACCTCTCTTCATGAATGATTATTTTTTCTTTCTGGCACATGCAACTAGAATAAGCTACAATTCTTGGAAAAGAATTTGCCATCTCAAATGCTAAAAAGGAAACTGGGTACCCAGTGTTCTATCATTAAGAGAAGTCTTTAAAAAGATGAAGACAACTTGGCTGGGCCGAGCAACACGGTCTGTTCGATAACTTGCTATGAGTGGACCATCAGAGTTTCCAAGCCCTGCTTGGCCACTGTCAGTTTGAATTATATCCCAGCTTAATATTCAATGCCTCATAAGGGTGGAACATGCTTATGTAGAGCTAAAAATAAAACTAGAGAATAAGTGTGCTTAACTCCTAAGAAATAGGTGTTAATTTGTCATGAAGGAATTATCTACAAGGAAAATCTGCAGCCCATATATCTAATCTGACCCTCTTTCACCACGTTATGAACTCGGTTTTTGTTAGAAACAGATGTGAAGTGCCACATTACTCGATATCTTCTTGGACTAAGCTTGGTTTCTACACTGCCTGCAGTGTTGGATGGCAAGGCACTTAAGTACTGCTGTTGAGAATTGAACATAATTCTTCAACACTTCTATGGTATTGATAACTTCAAAAACCAGAGAGATAACCTAGACTAAATTTACTCATAAGAACAAAAACAAAGAAAAAACACACACACAAAACTAAGGTTTTCAGGACCTGCCTTCTCTTATTTCACTAACCTATRTTTTATATTTCTTTAGCTAATTAAGAGAAAAAAAATACTGGAACTGCAGAAAAGTTTACTCTATCTCCTGACAAAATGCTAACTAGGCAATTCTAGTACTTGCTGGAAAGAGCAGTATTCRGACAACTCGCCCTTCTTTTAGAGATTTAATATAAACTTAATTACTTCATCCTGTAAAAGTTACGAATGCCTTAGGACTTTTACATGAGTACCATAGTGAGTGGTAAAATGTTTCACACATTCTAGGAATTCCTGCCATAACACTTGCCTTTTTTTTTTTTTGAACAGCATCCAGTCAGAGATCATAGCAGGTTTTCTTGCCACAAGTATGCCAATTAAGGCATGTTTGTTTCCTACACACATCACTAAAGCGCTCTAGTTCTCTGCTCTACTAATAAATCCAGAGAAAGTTGAAAAAAGCTGTCTGTGCACAAGCTTCCTGTCATAGACCATGTAAGTACTGATTAATTTTTTAGTGGCAATTAAAAGATAGTAACAATTGTTTACCTTCAGTTTTCCTTTGTTGAATGCGCAAACAGAAACTTGATATGCAGAATGCCCCATATCCACAAACACAACATTTCTCGGCTTCTCTTCTAAGGCAGGCAGGTCTTGTTTATAGATTCCATATGCAAGGGCAACTACACAGAAACAAGATATTTGATATTTGGTGCATTCTTTCCCTGGTATTTTTTTCCCCCCCAATTACTGCTATAACAGTAAAAATAATTACTAATATTTCATTTTATTTTTCAAGCTGTAGAATTTGCTACTCTTAGAATAAAAGTCCTAATAATAGTCCAACATGGAAGACCATTAAACATTAGTCTCGTAGTCCAGAGAGTAGCTGCATGAAAACCAGGATACTGAAGGAACGTTTTTATAAAAGCTTCTGTAAAACAAGAGAAAACAGATTGTGGCTTAAGAAACTCTAAGAGCAACCAATCCCATTTCTAAAACTAGCAGTAATTCCAGGCAACACAAGTCAGTGCTGATTAAAAGCCCTTAAAACTACAAAATTAAGTGATTGACATGGAGGGAAAGAAAGGAACAACCTGCAGTTGTTTCATTTATTAGCCTCAGGCAGTTGAGACCAGCAATCTGTGTAGCATCCATCACAGATCTCCTTTCTGCATCTGTATAGAAACAGGGAACCTACAAGAAGATCAAAGAGCTGATATTAACTTTCAGAAAAGCCACCTAGAGCAAACAGACAAGTACACAGAATCAGTTTAGAGCACAATTATACAGAGTAGGTAGTCTCAAGAGTTTTTTTATTTTCAACTCCAAAAGAAGAGAAAAATAGCCTTCCCTTCCCCTCGCCTTTTTAGGCAATTCCTTTTCCTGCATTTTAGAGTGAAAGCCACTTTTTAGTCATCTAGCAAATATGAATTGCTAATTAGCAGCAATTTAAGATATTTTTACCATTAGTAAAGTAAACCTAGTTTTCAGGAAGAGATTTCAGTAACAGTTTTACGTAGACAGGTTAAAGACCTGAATATTTGAGATTTAGTAGGCAATTTAATGCTACTGTCATAAAGCCTTTCAATTTATGATACTAACCCAACTATGTTACAGCATAACTATTATCACATACTTACAGAAACAACACAGTCAACAACAGGCTTCTTAAGTGCATTCTCAGCAGTCTCTTTTAATTTGGTAAGGAGCATTCCTGTCACCTGCTCAACAGTAAAGTTTCTTTCTTCTTCCATGTACATGACCTTAAATAAAGTATGTGCAGTATGTGTGTGAGTATATATTATATATAAAATATATCAATCGCACTATGATAAAAGCAATGTGCAGCAAGCATAAGAAACATAAGCAAGATGGATTTCTTTCCTGAAAGTAAATACATTTTTACACAACTTTTGCTCTGAGAGCTTAGTTTGTGCACAGCAGTTTACAAGGTCTATAATAAGTGCTGGAAAACACAGTTGGGAATTCATTTATACAAAGCTTCTCCGGACACAGATTTCCTCCAAATACTGAATGCTGGACAGGACCTATCACACCTTCCTCCCAACTGCTCTCTAAAAAGTCACTCACCCAATSCCAAATGAGAAATTCAGTTGGGACTGCTGCGAAAATACTTTTTAAAAAACATTTTAGCTGAAGTACTAAGTAAATCCCTCACACTTTGCAGTATCAGGGCAGAAGCTCAATAAAATACACTTGTCAAGTGTCCGTCTCCCAAAATCACCATGGAGGGCAGAAAAGCACTGCTACAGCAAAATTTGTGCGAGACTGGCTTTCTGAGAGAAAAAAAAAAAGTCTCTTATAATTGGGCAAAATCGGTCTCCTGCCTAATGCAGATGCTCTCCCCAGGTGTCTCCCTAGTTAAGGTTATTTTGTTCACAAAAGAACAGAACCAGCACCTAGAGCCAGCAGATTCAAAACAGAGATAAAACCGAAATCTTTACCAGTTTCTCCTCTGGTTCTTTTTCAAATATGCCAGTCTTACCTTGATGCCTGTCGAGCCTGTTGGCAGCTGGACAAGTTCGTACGCAAGGTTTGCTTTTTCAGCTTGAACAAAGGGATCTGAGAATGCACGACCATGAAATCTTTTAAAACTTTGTACTGTATTCTTTGCATTTGAAATAACCTAGAGGAAAAGAAGTCTTTAATACAAGATGGCAAGGGAACATCTCAATTTCAAACAAGACAATGGGAAGTTCTGTTCTGAGGCTTTCCTTGCCAGAAGATTTTGTCATTTGTGTCTTAACAGTATCAGAACAGCTGCTAAAAAGCAACTTCCTTCTGATCTCCTAGATTATCTACAGGAAATTTGAGATTAAAATGCATACCTCAAAATAGAGCCAAGGTTTTAATATATAAAACATAAATCAGCTAACATACAATCCCCTTAATGCTGGATGTAACATACCTTTCCAATATTTTGGCAGTATGTCCTTCCCGTTTACCTCTTTCCTAGTATCCTACCCTTCTACTGCCTCACAGCCTCTAATTCAGTGGGTGCAAGTACCATATTGATGCAAACTCCACTTCAGGTGCATCAGATGCATGTGACCAGATGACATATAGGTAAACTTAAATAGCTGCTCAAAGAGCTTGTCATAAATACATTTTAAAGTAAGCAGAGATTACTGCCAACTTGAATTCAAGTGCATTGGCTTGCATTAATAGCAGAAATTAGCTCAATGGAAAAATTAAGTCAGTTTCTAATTTATTTTCAAATACTGCATGTAAATTTAATTAATTTACATTAGGGCAAGAAAATACTGAAAAAAAATCAAAGTAACAGACAAAGCAGGCAAGTGTTGTACCATGTACTGCTTACCGGGGATTCAACCAAATGTCTTTATCCTAAATAACCTTGTTTTGATTTTCTCTAAGTTTATTTTGCAGGACATACCTCATCTCTACTGGATCTCTGTACCAATGAATTTCTTTAAGCTAAGCAGACACTCAACTCCAGAAAAACATCTGCATTTAGTTCTAGCACAGTTCTTCTGTTCTTGCATAACATAGTTGTGTCCATCTTTTTTGCATTCTAGATACTGAATCTTCACACATCTCTAGGTATTTTAGGCTAAGAAAAAGCGAGCATTTGAAAAGTCACTTCCTGTAGAGGACTTTAAAAGAAATTGTTTTATAGGTGTTTCACAGGGACACAAGATACAAGACAGCAGGACACAAACGTCACGAGCAGGACAAAACAACTAAGTCTCCTCTTGGCCCTCAAATTATATTTACCTACCTACACAACAGAAGCTCAACATATGAGCAAGAAACCTCAAGGAAGATATTTGGGTTGTAACTGAATCCCACAGAATTTAGGAAAACTGCATTTATACCATTTCTCCCTTGGAATTATTCATTTAATGGAACTGTATGAAACCTCACAACTGAACGCTGTCGTAAGACATATAAACTGGGACCAGTACAACAGGATTAAAGAGTATTGCAAAGATTTAGAGTTTAAATTTGCAAAGCAAATAATGCTAGTATTCATCGTGTTTTGACAGGCAAAAAAATGTTTTTTGCACATTTATTATGTACAACAATAAGCTCCTAGACACTAATAACCCTTTTATCTCTATCCAAGATGACAAAGCAGCCTTCCAAGTTGAACAGCTGAATTGGGCTCAGCTGCTCAGGGGGACACCAGGCAGCAGAAGCCCCAAAGATGTCTGCTATCTTCCCTGGGAAACAGTTACAATGGGCAACTCTGATTTTTGACATGTAGTTGCTTTTACCAAAGTAATACTCTCACCTGGCTTTTAGCTGCAGCGCCAATTGAGCGATTCTTAGGTCCAAAGGCTATACATGATCTACAAAAAGAAGAAAAAAATTCTAGTCTAGCAAGTGACTGCTAAAACTGCATTGCATTAGAAGTATCATGTGGCATTTTTGTCCATCAATACTAAATGCTTCTGTTTAACAGGAGACATTTTAACATCCTCTGCTTCTTTAAGAAAGTTGGTCACGCACTGTAAGAAATTTAGTTCCAATCTTCTTGGATTTTGATCAAAAGACTTTCCCATTGAGTTTTAAGGTCAAGAAAACTATGATTTAAACTACATTGAAAAGAAACAGCTCATTCACGCGACTTTTGAAGTCTTAAGACATTCTTATTAAGAAATAACTGGGTAGACATTTCATCTCATTAACCACCTGCACAGCTCAGCCAGCTAACCAGAGATATTTTATTAGTTATTGAAACTGAATAAATATAAGTGACAGAAGCAAAACACACTTTAGTCCTAGCTACTTTTTTGATAGCTCGTAGTTTAAAGAAATAAACAGATAAAACACAACTGGAGAAGTTCTAGCTTCTAGTTCTACCAAACCTCTTGATTTATGTATTTAACAAAATAACATAGGAGCCATAAAACAAAGCTAAATACAGTCCTTTTTTCATCTTACTCTCTAATCAAGATTCTTCATACCTCAAGACTAAACCTATTAATATAAATGCTTTGAGATAAACAACTTGTTACTATTAATAAAGTGTATTTTAACAACATAATTAGGTAGAACTCCACACAGCAGGTCAAGAAGCTGCTCTATAGCATGGTTATGCCACAGGGCTACCCAAAAAAAGAGATTTTAATTTAGACTGCAGTTTGCAAATGATCAAACAAATTGCCATAAACAGAACGGAAGGCCAAAGTGGTAGAGCCACATTGTTTCTATATCTACTCATCATTTATTCACCACTTAACAGATGAAAACAAGGTCCACCCTAAAGCATACATTGCAATAGAATAAACATTGATGAATAACTCTTACTTAAAACAATTGTTGAAGAGGTTAGTTAATGAAAAGAAAGTTTATGCTATGTAGACCCTAAGGTCAACACTAAGGAAACAAGAGCTGTAGAGCATAAGCAAAAACATAATGAACGCTTGTCACAAAGTTATTCAGCCCGGGCTTCAGAAAGAAATTAAGACATCAGCTGTAATGGAAAAGTTCTATTTTTCTCCCCGGCAAAGAAAACATCCAGCTACTTCGCTGCTGAATTCATGGGCCACCAGCCTCAATTCACTGGTTCTGAAYCAGCACAGAACCCTTCAGCAGCGCCAGACTAACAACTCAAGGTAGAAATCAGTCTGGAGAGGGCCACCAGAAAACACAGGCTTCTGCATTATATTCTGGGAAGAAAACCAAAAAAGCATGTGCTTTCTTCTTAARCATGCCTGCCACCTGCTCAGCTTTAGAGCACACATGCTCTGCCAAACAGCTGTACTGTAGCCTGCTACCTCAGCGGTGAAGTTTTTCAAATAACTCCCAAATCAATGAACCCATCCAAAATTGTCTTTACTGCAAAAATCACTACAACTATGAATCACACCATTGTAAGTGTGAATGTTTCAACCTGCAAGAACTTTAAGAGATCTAAGGAAGCAGTTTTACCCTGTCGTGGAAGTGATGCAGCTACTGCCCAGGCAGGACGGTCACGCTCAGCACCCGCCTTGCCTCTCCTCTCRCCCCGTCAAGTTAACACTGGCTTCTCCTCTAATCCCTGGAGGGCCGTGCAGGGAACCAGAGCAGCAAAAATGCAACCAGCACAGAGGAAGGGGAAGAATTTTCTGCCCGTTCAGTTCAAACTAGAAACCACCACAGCTAATCCATTAAAATACAAAAGGAGGTATTGCACAATCTAAGCGCAAGGCGAATAAGTAACTTAACATTTTGCACAGAAACATACAAATGCAAAGCTCACCAGAGGTCTAATGAAGTAGAAGTTAGGCAGAATATTGAACTTCCTTAACACATGTGAACTAAGCTACCTGCAGGCACTGCTTTACACTTGCTCCCCCCATCCCTTCACAGGTGCTTGGGAGACACCCTTATCCTGAGAGCAATTTTGGTCTGTACAGAACAGCACTAGTTTTACAAGCTGTCAATTAATCCAGACACCTTTATCCTTACGTAGGCAAAGAATTTCTTAAATTATATCCGCTAATCCTGCCCAAAACTTGTATCTCACCAAGCATAAAATAATGCTTAACCTTGACCATAAATAATTTCTYCAGAAAATATGCCACAAAAACTTGCATGACTCACCCCAAGGCTRACTTTTAATAACTGCTGCACTGACTTTTTAAACCAGGCCTTTGTTTCCAAGATGGACATTTAAGTCATTAATATTTTTAGTACATATTTGTATGATTTCAGATTTTTTTCTCTGTGTGTATTCAATAGGGTATACAAAGATCTATTTATACAGGTTTGTGTGTGTATCTATATACACACACACACTTCAGAACAGTAATTAGAAGAATCAGTTTGGTCAAAATGAGCATTTCCAACAGAACTTAATCTCCGTTTGAATCACTTCAGCCTTTCCCAATTAAATTATTTACGGAAAAGATCATGTCAGAACACATTTGTGTAACTAATCTCCTTCAGGGAGTCAGGCTTGTGCTCATACTTCAGATACATGGAGTAGAATCTCAACTCTCTCAACAGATACCCACAGCTCTAAGAAAATTACTCTGGAAGGCTTTAAAATTTTCTTAACACATCCACCTACCACATCTTCAGTACCGCTGCAGATACACATTGAGAAGCGAGTGCACGCTCTGGTATACAGCACTAAATTAACAAATTCCTTTCTCCATTTATTCACTGCTTGGAGACAGCAGAAGGCAAACAGAGCTGAGGTATTATCTAGTGAGAAGCAAGGTCATTTCATGCTTCGGGTGTTTTTAAATAGATAGGAAAGGGCTAAAATACKCTAGGCAATGCAGTTACCTCATCAGAATAGTTATTTATTTTACTATGAGGGTGTGCTGCATTGTAATAACTGCAAGACGACTTTTAAAAYCAACTTTTCCAAGTAGCTCATCTCCAGATTTGATGCACTACAAGCTCCTTCTCCTGTATCTGCCTCTGCTACTCATTCTCAGAGCACTTGTACCTCAGTTTCCCTTCACTTTTTTATCAGAAAAAGATGCTTATTGAAGATAAGCAGCACAAGCTGTTCTTTGGAAGTGCGTTAGGAAGCCAGTTTATGTAAACACAGTTAAAATTCATGATAAAATGCAGCACCCTTCAAGCCCAAATTCATCAGCGAGTTGCAGTATTAGTCAGGGGCTTTTCCAGGGCTGCCCAGCACCTTCACATTTCTTTCCTCCACCCCAGCAACTTATGAATCCGGAGACCAATTTCATTCGAGTTTCAAGAAGTCTAGTACTCAAAAATTCAYGGTTTTGAGGATCGGTACTGAAGATAAATAGACATAATCCACAGAGAAGTGGCYGGGCAGCCTCCCCGAGCTCTGCCCCGGGTAGGTCAGGACCGCAGAAGCGCAGGAACTAGCTCAGGTCCCGGGGCCTCCCTGAGGGAGCAGGAACCGGCTCTGCTCCCTGTCTCCTCCCGCCCAGCTCTGGGGCAGGGCACCCGGGGACACCCGGRGGACACCAGGTATACCCGGGAGCACCGGGGGACACCGGGTATACCCGGGGGACACCAGGTATACCCGGGAGCACCCGGCACACGCAGGACCGGGCGGCGAGGGCCCCGCGCCGCGCTCCCAACAAAGGGCGGCCCTCGCGCGCGGCCTCACTCACGGCGTGCTGCGGTCGCTGTACTCGTTGGCCACGGTCTCGATGCCGCCGGCGCGCGCCACGGCGACGTAGCAGCTCTGGAAGCCCAGGTCGATGCCCACCACCGACATGCTGGCGGCGGGGAGGCGCGGAGCGGGGCCGGCGGCGGGCGGGCGGCGCG